GATGTAGCTTTTCTAGTCTTATAAATTAATTATATATTCTTTGTATCGAAGAATAGGAAATTCCCAAATCGGAAGATGCTGTTCCGTTGGCAGCACGTGTATATGCTTCAAAGTATCCCAGGACGTTAATTTCTACTTTTTCTTCTCCTGTTGTGGGTTCTTGATCAAAAAATTCTTTTTTAATCTGACCTTTTGTAATTTGGTGGAATTTTGTATATTACAAATTTAACGCCTGGCATGCTCTGTCTACTATTCTCTTAGCCCCATCTCACCATGCCCATAAATAACGAACAAATAAAAAACAACACAATGTGGATAATGATCCATAGTGAAAATTGGACACCGAGATAGCACTGTTTGACATTTGATTCAAATGACATTTGAAAGGAAACAATTGCTTCCAAGCCTACTACACCTAATGGAAAAATAAGAATATGTCTTTCAAAAACTACCGGATGTAGGCACAATAATCAAGACATATACAGAATGTTAATAAAAGTGGCCCTAACATTCAAATCTACATTCATTTCTGGAATGAGAAGTAATAGTTGCAATTTGAAAAACTGAAGTTTTTGACATTTTTTAGTGCTAATTTTGAAAAATCGCAGCCGCACTAAAAACTTTTTCAAAACTTTCCGCAGTCACCCAATGAATAAACCCTTCCATCTCAATTAACATAATATACGTCCATAAATATTATACGTTGAATTCAGAATAAAATGGTGCTCTTTGTCGCTATAGTGGGAATACGCACTGGAGTTACGTCATGTTGCGGCGTGGCATCGCATCGCCTCGCCGAGCTGAATGGTCTCACAATAGAAAAACAGGTGGGATCATTGTATTTTTCTATCGATTTAATTCACATTGCTTTAGGAAAAACGTAGCCCTAGCTATAATTCTTCTCTAGTGGTACTTTTTATTTAAAAAAAAGCAAGAAATTTAAAAAAAAAACAAAAGAAAAGAAACAAAAACAAAAAATGACGAACCGTGGATATGTATCTCTGCTTTTGCAACGACTCTTACCATTGCATTAAAAAAATATATTTTTAATATGAAATACACGATAAAAAATGAGATAAAAAGTGTGTTAAAATGAATACTTCAAATAAGATACAATTTGAATCTGAAGAAAATATATAAATTTGCGTATTACAGGTTCGTACGCACCTTATGACTATTACAGATTAAACTAGTTCAATTATTGGATGTCTAGCAAAGCATGAAATAGTGTTGTCTGAAATAACTTCCGTGGACTAGTTGAATCAAAATTATTGAGCTATATTGGAAATAAAATTGGACCTAAGACTTATCCTTGAGGAACGTCGCACCAAGACTATCATTTCACCAATTTTGCATGTCGCTCGTTTTGTGTAGTGGAACTACTGGCACGTTTTGGAGTAAATGCAGAAATGAAAATGATATTGGAATTATATGCGTAAATAGAGAGAGCACAAGAC